GTTGGACCCACAATCTATTTTGTGAAAATGGCTTTCTGCAGATAGAGCAATATCAGTTACAATGCCCAAAAGTCTCCTCTTTGTTAGCTTGAAGTAACTTATTGGCAAATCATCCTGATAGTTTCCAGGGAAAAATGATAGATTGTTTATGTCCATTTTTAACACTGGTATCTTCTTCTATTTCATAATTTACATGTTTTAAAAGAAGACTTGGTTCCTAAGCATCCTACAACATAATTCCATTTTGCTGCTTTGTACATTTTGTATATGTTGCATTCTAGCAGATGAGAAATGGTTATGGCTGCTGCTAAAATGAATTTAGAACTTGAACTGCAGGTGTATCAGTAATATGTCTTGAAGAGAGAGAGCACCAAGCTCTGGAAGCAGCATCAGGTTTTCTGACCAATTATGGACTAAAATTTGTGTATGCTTTTATTTCCATTTTGAACTGGCAATGTTTAGAAGACTAGCTACTTATCAACCATCAGGTTGACAGACCCAGGGATACCATGCTCTCATTAGCTTTTGTAGATGTGCTTTTCAACAAAGCAAAAATTCTCCATTCCATTTCTCCTTTCCTGTTAGGAATTTGGAGATCTCCTTCCTTCCTTCCTTCCTTCCTTCCTTCCTTCCTTCCTTCCTTCCTTCCTTCCTTCCTTCTTTCCTTCTTTCCTTCCTTCTTCCTTTCCTTCTTTCCTTTCTCCCTCCCTCCCTCCTTCCTTCCCTCTTTCTTTCTTAGCTCTGTCACATCTCTCTTTAACTTGCAATCTTTTTTACTCTCCCCTCAATAATTGGGGGGAAAATGATCATTTCTGGTGAATATGCTCTTAAATTATCTTAGAGAATGTTCTTACCCAGATTGCAATGTTAAATATCTTCCTAAAAATCAATTAAGTCCATGAAAAGTTTCAAAACCCTAAGAGAAATGGTATAAAGAAACCCTCTCAGCATTTTTCTCCAGAGTTTGATTCTTATAGAACCCACTCTTTTACACTGTATAAAACAAATCTCTTAGGTTTTGCTTATGCTGTACTGATTTGCCACTTTTGATTTTTTATTTAAGCTCAAACTAGCTACTGATACCCTGCTGCTCAAATCATATAGTTCCTCTGATTCAATGCCAGACAGTCCCTCTCAATATAAAAGTCATGTCTATAATCCACTGGCAGGCCACCCAAAGTGATCTTTTGATATTTTGGAGTTGTTTTATAGTACAGTTCCAGCCTCAGGCTTCATAAAACACAAGTTTCATAACAACTGTAATTGCTAAGTCCATTTTTCTGATATATCCAGCCAAGGTTTTCTGGAACATCTCACTTTTCCCAAATTAATGGATTCTCTTCCTCCCTCAACTCTCATTCCTTGACACCCTTCCACATGGTACTCCTGGGTGGGGAATGTTTTGGAAACTCAACTATAGAAAAATAACCTTTTTATAAGGAGAAAATGAAGTTCATGCCTGCTTATAAAAAGAGCAGTGCAGATGGCACCTGTATTCAAGGATAAGGATGATGTGATGGGTGATGATGATGCCATTGTTCACAGGAATAATTAATATTTATTGAGAGTTTATCAGGTGCCCTCCTTGGTGTTAGGTGCTTTACATATACTACATTGCTGAATCATTATGAGTCTATGAGGCACTATTAATATCCCCATTTTACAGATGAGGGAACCAAGAGAAATGATGAAACAATGGTGAATATAAATAAAGAGAAGTAACAGTTGTCCTGACTGCTAACAGTGAAGGTATTCCCTGGTGGTATTGATTCCTTTATTTATTTATTAATAAAAAATTTACTGTAATCTTTATACCAGGCTCTAAGTTGAGTACTAAACTGTAACACTTTCCAAGTTAATTTGTTTGATGATTACCTTAAATATTTATAGAAAACTTCAAATGTAGAGGACACCTCTGCTGATCCCTAGATAAAATTTGCCATGTTGGATGCTTGGTTACTAGAAAGTCTAAAATACAAGATAAGAAACTGAAATAAGTGGGGAAAATAATTTAGTTCTCTTATCATTAAAATGCAATGTACTTTTAAATTCTTTTAAAAATTATTGTCAGAGGACATGTATACTTGCCAGAGAAAAACAGAAAGAAAGAAAAGAGAGAAAGCACTCTCCAATGGGGTATGGTCATATCACTATCCCTTCTCCATCTTCATCTTGTAGGGATTTGGGGCATGCATGCACATGCATCTGGTGTGCTTTTCCAGCTGCTGGAGATCGGATTTGAATCATGTGTTGATCAGGTAGGACCCAACTGCCTTAACCAACAGACTATAGAGCCAGGGCTTAGCCAATTTTTAGAAGTTAAAATTACTTGCCTTTTATAATAAAATATTTTAGCTACACTTAACATAAAATGGAAAATCCTTAGCCCCATTTATTAATTTTTATTAAATTAGGATTGAATCTTGCCTTCTAAAAGTATTACAATAAAAAAATAGTGAACTTTGTTTTGTACATAAATATGTCCTATTTGGAAATTTTATGTCTGGTTTGCATTATTTAAAGATGGAGTTATCTCATCCTGAAATATTAGGATGACAGAGACAGTAGAATATAAGTGGTATAAAAGGATCTTCTACTTTTTTTCACACGGGCATTAAAATAATAGAGCCCATACCCTATGAGATGATACAACACAAATATTTAAATCTCTTTAAAAGGCAATGTTGAATTTTATAAATGACAGCTAAAGGAAAATGGCCCTTTGAATTAAATGTCAGAGAAGTTATGCTTTCTTGCAGTTGTTAATAGCCATCATTTGTTGAACAAATACTATGTATTCACACTATGTTATGCAACTACTTGAAATTATATAAAACCATGCACTGTGTAATGAAGTTTATTCAGTGACAGACTTCATATACTACTGTGGAGCAATAGGCTATATCATATAACCTAGGTGTGTAGTAGGTTTACACAAACCACTTAGGTTTGTATAGTTATGTTCTATGATGTCAACAACAAAATACCTAATGAGGCATTTCTCAGAATGTCATTAAGTGATAGATGACAGTATGTATACTTTTACCCAAGCTCCCACTTGTCAATAGTGTTATGGAAATGAGAAACTGTGTAATCATAGATTAAAGTTGGTCTTGGGATCAGTAGATAGAGTAGTGGTTAAGTTGCTGGACTCTCACATAGTCAACTGTGGTTTGAGTCCCAGACCTGGTGGCTTAAAATTCATGCTGCATGTGTGTGTGTGTCTAAAACCCTAAGAGGAGAATGGAGTCGAAGTGACTGTAGCGTGGCCATTCCCCCAGGGGGTGATTTCTTGCTTTCTTTCTTTCTCTGTCTCTCCGGTGAGTGTACATACCCTACAGCAAAAACCTCTCTTAAAATAAAAAAAAGAAAAAAGATGGGACCAGCAGTTGGCGTAATGGCTATGTTGCTGGATTCCCATGTAGTTGACAGTGGTTCAAGTCCCTGACCTGGTGGCTTAAACTCACACTGGGCACTTGTGAATGTGTACCCAGGATACCGAGAGGAGAATGGAGGAGAAGGGATTGTGGCATGGCCATCCCCCCTGGCGGGGGGGTGATTTCTCACTTTCTGTCTCTCTCTCTTTCTGTTGAGTGCATGCACCCTATAGCAAAACCCTCTCCAACAACAACAACAACAAAATATCTATCTATCTATCTATCTATCTATCTATCTATCTATCTATCTATCTATCTAGATCTATATACAGTAGTCTCTCTTGGTCTTTAGTATAAAATGATATAAAGATGGACCCACAGATGTACATATCAATAAGGCTGTTCATTGCATTGCTTTCAATGATTGAAAATCAGAAACAATCCAAATGTCCAACAATAGGGAATTTGTTAAATAAATGATATAAAGTACAGTCATTAAAATGACAAGGCAGAAGACTAATGAAGACATGGGGAAATGCCCACAAGCAAATGTCTAACAGTGTGTACAATGAGATTCCTTTTTAAAAAAGTTTTATGTCTCCATAGAAAAGTTACTAGAAAAAATATATTCTAAATATTAGCAATAACAAAAATGACTGTTAACTACAGTTATCTCTGGGTGGTAAAACAATGGGTGGTTTTATATTCTTATTTTTCCTCATTTACTTTAAAAATACCCTACAATAAACATGTACTACTTTGGTCATTTAAAACAATGGTAAAAGTTATAAAAAAGAGAAGGAAGAAAGAGGGAGGAAGGAGGAAGGGA